TTGACATATTAGATGTATGAAGGATGTCAATTTGATCTATTAAAATTATGAAGGATGGCTTTGTGATGTTTTAAAAGTATGAAGGATGTCAATTTTATCTATTAGTTATGAAGGATGGTTATTTGACATATTAGATGTATGAAGGATGTCAATTTGATCTATTCAAATTATGAAGGATGGCTATTTGACATATTAGATGTATGAAGGATGTCAATTTGATCTATTAAAGTTATGAAGGATGGCTATTTGATGTATTAGATGTATGAAGGATGTCTATTTGATTTGTTAAAATTATGAATGATGACTTTGTGATGTTTTAAAAGTGTGAAGGGTGTTAATTTGATGTATTAAAGTTATGAAGGATATCAATTTGATCTGTTAAGATTATGAAGGATGGCTTTGTGGTGTTTCAAAAGTATGAAGGATGTCAATTTCATCTATTCAAGTTATGAAGGATGGCTATTTGACATATTAGATGTATGAAGAATGTCAATTTGATCTATTCAAATTATGAAGGATGGCTATTTGACATATTAGATGTATGAAGGATGTCAATTTGATCTATTAAAGTTATGAAGGATGGCTATTTGATGTATTAGATGTATGAAGGCTGTCAATTTGATCTATTAAAATTATGAAGGATGGCTTTGTGATGTTTTAAAAGTGTGAAGGGTGTTAATTTGATGTATTAAGATTATGAAGGATATCAATTTGATCTGTTAAGATTACGAAGGATGGCTTTGTGTTGTTTCAGAAGTATGAAGGATGTCAATTTGATCTATTCAAGTTATGAAGGTTGGCTATTTGACGTATTAGATGTATGAAGGATGTCAATTTGACCTGTTAAAATTATGAAAGATTCCTTTGTGATGTTTTGAAAGTAAAAAGATTGTTGTGCAAGTCATTATTTTGACTGATGTTTCATTCTTTTTAGACATGAGAGTGAAAAGTAAATTTTGGGGAAAATCTATGGAAATCATTCCAGTTGGAACAGTTCATGTGCATTTGACAAAGTAAGTTTTCCTCTGGTTACATCACTATGTAACAAGTCTAGTTGGAGTCACAGTATACGTATTTAATACCTTGTGACTGAGAAACAGGTAATTAATCAATCACGGTAAAATAGCTATAGATGTTTAGTCGTGTTTTTTTTAAAATAATGCAAGTTGCTCATGAGTTTCATGAAAAAGTGCTTTTGTATTTAATTAATCTTCAAGTCATAAATTGCTTTATAAACAAATATTTTAATTCACTAGTCAACTGAAACTCGAAAAGGTAAAATTAATAAAAGTCAATATTGTAGGGCATCATGGTGTTAGAAAAGTGTAGAATAGTGGTTCTTTCAATTTAAGTAAATGTATTTTAGAAAGCAAAGATTTGAATATTGGAAATTTGGACAAGACATTGTAGACAGTTTCTTAATGGAAAATTACCTCAATTTATTTTTAAAATAATGGTGGTTATTAGAAACTACTTTAGTAACTTTTGCATAACTGTTGTTACTAATTGACAACTTGTATTAATATCAAGTTACCTCTTTACATACAGGCATCTTTCCCTGCACATTTCACGAGGTTTTACTGAGTTACATTCAAAATTTATTTAAAGTACTTTGTTATCATGGTATACAAATAAACATGGCTTAAAAACATAGCTAATTATCTAAATTTTGATATTATATAAGTTTTAAGTTCTTAATTTTATAAGGCAATATTAAAACAAAATCCTCAATTTTCCTTAGTATGAGAATTGTGACATTTGCTTGCTAGATCTCCTCTCTTTTATTTATTTACCACCTTTCTGAGAAATATAACATAAATTACTTATTGTAATATTATCATTGCCCAGGCAAAGCATAATTTTTATAAACTTCAATCTTATTTGGTTACACAGCCATAAACTAGAAAATGAAACCCCTCTTACCATGCCCACCTGTTACATCCTCTTTTTTACAAATTGCCAATAGTTCTCTCTGACATTTAACATTATATTATTTATAACCAATATCAAGCCAAAAATTTAATCTCTCTGGCATTTAATATTATATTATTTATAACCAATAGAAAGCCAGAAATTTAATCTATCAATATATAGGGAATGTATTTCACTTCCTTAGTTAGAAAACCAGAACAATTGTGATAGTTATAGGACATTGTGCTGTTCTGTGTTCTTTGGTGCATTATTTACTTAACTCCCTCCACATGGGCTCGGTCAATTTTGTACTCCTATAAAGTCTTTGTAGATTTGATACTTCTAACTCTCAATATAGTGTCACGAAATTTGGCAGTCTTTCAGTAAACATTATAAGACTTTCACATACAAAAAATAATATTTTTAGTGAAATATTTTAATATACTAAAAAAAGATTTGTCCATGAAGATATTGAGTATTTGTTTTAATAGTCCATGTGCAAAGTGATTTTCATGTTGAGATTAAAAATACTTTTCTTCATCTCAGAAATCTCAAATTTCATTTGTGTAATCAGTAAAACTTTATAATTTATCTGTTACTTTCTCTACCCTAACTCCATACAAGATTGGTCAATTTGACTGACCTCGTAACTACCAAAAAAATCTAAATAAATCTAAATTACCCTCCTTTTTCTTTCTAGAATGACTTCAAATGTAGTGTGAAACTACGTTTGTTTATCCTAAGTAGCTTTAAACTTGTAACAGTATACATCTTTTTATAATTAAGTTTTATTGCCCTTTGAACCATGTCTAACTAATATTCGTGCCATTATAAGCTGTAAATCACTTGGGAAATGTGCAGCTCACTTTACGCTATCGAACTACATTACCCATGAGCTACTACTAGCTGCTCGCGTGTGTTCTTCATGAATCATTTTTATTATATTATTATTTATTTTACCTAATCTAATCTTAACTAACATAAAGAGATCCATATTTTTACATTTTAATTACTTTTATCATAAAAAATAAACATGAAAAAAAAGAAATAAAGTACTTACCCAATCTTTGTTTATCTTGCCGTCGATTATTGATGAGACTTAACTCTAACTATCAAAATTTTTCTGACTTTCTAACTATGTGACAAAAGCCGTTACAAATTCATCCAAACTAGTTGTTAACTTTCTCACAGGAATGAACCATGTATTATAAGTGAAATTGGCGCTTATCTGTTCAGAACACAATGTTATACAATATGTCATTTGATAGATGAAAACCTTGGCTTTCTATTGGTTATAGGTAATATATAATTAAATGTAAGAGAGAACTATTAACAAATTCTGAAAGAGAGGATGTGACAAGTGGGTGTGGCAGGAGGGGTCTGATTTTCTATTTGATAGCTCTCTAACCAAACAAAATTGAAGGCTATAAAAATTATGGGGGGGGGGATAAAATAGAGATGAGAAGGTCCCTAGAGAAAATGTGTCATGTGTCACACTTGGGGAAATTCAGGATTTGTTTAAATATTGCCTTATAAGATTAAGAACTTAGAACTTATATACTATTAAAACGTGGATTATTAGCCAAGATTTTATGCTATACTAATTGGTATTAAGATAAACAAAAAGTTGTTTAATAAAATTTTTAATGAAAGACAACAAAACCTTTTATCATGAACAGTAAAGGACACCCGGGGCGAGAGGGTTAAATAAGATACGATTTAGTGAAGTAGTACCATCAGTATAAAAAAGTAGGGTTAAGTTTCATCAACAGTCGACAATAACAACAAAAAAGAAGACCCAGATAAGTACTATATTTCTTGTTTTCATCTCTATTTTTCATTTATTATTAAAAAAAGTGACTAAAATGTAAAAATTAGAAACTTTTTGGATTAGATACGGTTAGATTAGGTAAAATAAAGAATAATAATAATATTTCTAAAACGTGTGTTAAATACATGTTACTATTATTAATGATTTGGTTTCATCATACGAAACGTGTGTTAAATATATGTTACTATTATTAATGATTTGGTTCCATCGTACGAAACGTGTGTTAAATATATGTTACTATTATTAATGATTTGGTTCCATCGTACGAAACGTGTGTTAAATACATGTTACTATTATTAATGATTTG